GATATCATCAGTATGACTGACATCTGTCATTCACACTCCAATGAAATCACTAGTCCATGAAACTGCCTTATCATGATATCATCAGTATAATTGACATCTGTCATTAAACCTGGCACGGACGTGCGAACCATGGGCCTAGGTGTAAATGCGTATTGCCCAAATACGATAAAGAAACTAGCAAGCTGAATAACATGTGAAATGCTTTTTAAAATAATTGTCAATCATAACGCTTAAGAATTAATTTGATCAAATCTGAATAATATGTGAATAACTAAAACTAACAAAGGGTTGCTACATTATAACGGTTATTGTATACTTACAGTTCATCCGGAGCCTTTACTTGCAAAAAATCCGGTATTTGGTTGGATTTCAAACTTTCGAAATACACTGTAGGTCGTAGTATAGCTTAAAGCGAAATCACACCATCAGAGTGACCAAGCCAACTTTGCACCTTCGATGAAAACAAGACAAATGTGACGACGCTTAAATTACATCCAAAAGCAACAATGCATTTTGCATATCACAGTATTAAGTAATCAACGATTTTTGAAATGGCTAAATGTATTTTCAAATCTATTGCTAGTTTATTTATTTTTCTAATCATTTAATTCATTCATTTATCCATCCAATCATTTTTCATTCATTTATTTAATTAATTGATTRATAAATCATGACTTTAACGCATTTATTTATGATTTAATTCTTCATTAATTTATTCACTTATTTGATTCATTAATTCATTAAATTATTCCTTCATTTAATTATTCATTTATAAATCCATCGATACAAAGCATTTATTTTTCGAAATCAAGTCAAACTCTGGTATACRCTGGAGCATGGCAAATCAATTATACAATGGCAACATTCTACAGCCTGGGGGCGTCTAGATTTAATTTCCACCGCCTTCACTGAATAATTCATGCAATAGGAATCACTTTTTCTTTAATTTCCACCAATTCATTTCCCCTATTCAGCTTGTCTCCTTTCAGAGGAAATTCATTATCCATGTGTGTCAGATTTAAGGCTCCTTTTCAACATATCCGTTGATTCTATTCTGCATTTGCTCAAGCGAAATATTAAACTATCATCAAGTTACTTTTAGATTAGCTGTTTTAAAAGAATACTCGAAATCTTTTTGGATGAAAAGCACTCGAGAAAGCGAAGCGACAAGTAAATGCACTATCCAGGACACCGAGGGAAATACGAGATACAAAAAAAACTTAAACTTGTCGTGCAAAATTGATGCTGTTCAAGTTTAGCGTCAATGTTTCTCTCTTCTTTTTTTTTTTGGCGCGACAAGCTGCCATCGTTTGTCCAAGGTCAAAAACGAGAAATTTCGTCACCAAATTGTAACGGCAAGAGGTTTTGTATTTTGTATTTCACGGCATTAGTCAAATGGACGCAAAAGAAAATGGATTTCATRGGTTTTTGACACTCTTATCACAGGCAAGCAGACGAACGAAAAATCCACGCAATTAGCGAATACTACCGCTCATTAGTCTAATCGTTATTTGAAACTTTCTTTTTTCCATTCAAGAAACTGTAATTGTGAAGGAGCTTGTAGAAACAGAAGTAGTATGGAATGGTCTATAGAGACCACCTCRTGACGTCATYTATTATCTTACTGTAGCAGATGTAGCCTCCCTTTTATCGGAGTTCGCCGGTGGTGGCTGCATTTTAGGGACTTGCTGTATTCTAAAGAAGATTACTTCACATAGAATTCTATTCTGATCGTAGTATACATTACAGTCTGAGGATTATCATAAGCCTTTTTCGTGTTTTGACAGCAAGAGAGGAAAAAATAATTGATCAGCGCTTATGCCACAAAGGTAAGACTTTGTGAAAGCTGTTTGGACATAACAGGACCGGATTAGACATAGAACAAATTAAATAGGAAAAGAACAATTGATCAGAAAAAATGAAATAGGAAAAGAACAATTGATCARAACAACTAAACAAATGGGAAAAGAACCATTGATCAGAACCAATTTTAGAGGAAAAGAACAACATATCATTGCAAATGTTAATGATCACCCTTGATTTTGACGAATTTTTAGGCACTAAAAAAAGGCTAAGGCAAAGTAAAACGATTTAAAAGCCCATTTAGACGTATAACAAATAAAGACGAAAAGAACACTTGATCAGTATACACACAAATGTACTAAAACTACTAAGATGCCAGGTAAAACTGAGCTTAAACAGAAGACGCATTTAGAAAAAGAACGCATTAATTTTCTTGCTAATTGAAAGCCCGTGTTCTTTTCATACTCTTTCTAAATAAGATTCTAAGATATCTACGAGTGAATTTTTSATATGTGTTTCGTCATATTTAAATGATATAAAAAGTGTCTGACTACATTATTTAGTCCATATCAAGTTTCAATCTACTACAACGAGGTTGCAAATTCCCTATCTTTCTTCAGCGCGGTAAGCTCTTTTTTTATTTAATTTCACTTATTTATATGTTCAAGGCAAAACAATCTTCCAAATAATCTTTGTTAACCTATATGTGTTTTCTTGTTTTGGTTGTTCACATACTATTATCTCTATTCTTTATAATCCATTTCCTTGTAATTCAGTTTCTTTTCCACAACAACTCGTGGCTTTAAAGGAACATTTGTTTAAGGATATCGTAGTCACTTATTGACGACAAACCAAGCTCCCGCAAAGTGATTGTTAAGATTAATGTGGCAGAGGCGTTAGGGACGTTCGATTCATAATTAACATCTTTCTGGAAAGAACATTTCATCAAATTATTGGTATGCGTTGCCTTATATTAAATGACAAAATTGAAAAAGTCTGTCACATTGAAAAAGCAGATCCCATAGAATGAAATGAAGGGACGTCAACACAATGAAACCTAAATCGTAGATTAGGTTCTGAGGCTGTATACACATAATTGAGAAATGTTGTCACATTGAAAAGGTAAACCATAGATTACAGATCATAGAGGCTGAGGCTGAATACATTAGATTGAAAAAACGTTGTCACATTGAAAAGGTAGATCAAAGATTACATATCATAGAGGCTGATGCATGCAGAATACATCAAATTGAAGAAACGTTGTCACATTGAAAAGGTAGGTCAATGGCTATATCTAGACTACAAATGATCTTAGCTGAAGTCGCAATGGTTCATGGGATATTGTAAATTATAGACTAGCAATAGCAATTCTAATGATTTAAAAGGACTTTATTACAAGCAAAGCTTTCACGATCAAAATGAAACTAGATTTATAATTAATCTATTTTTTATAATAGTAATATATGACATCTGTCTGTGCTGTCACCATCAGATATCTTTAATCATTAGCCAATTTTTTTWAAAAATATCTAAACTTATAGAGCGCTTCTATAGCTTTGTCCAAAAAGGTAAAACTTAAAATAAAAATATTAAAATAGAGATTGTCAAGGAATTATGGTTAGTCAGAGACCATAGGTTTGTTGAAAAAAGTAAGTTTTATTAAGAGCAGCTTTACAGTCAACCAGTGAATACCTCTTATTGAATATGGAAGTGAATTCCATTTGGACCAGCAACACCAAAAGAACGAAAACCATAACTTTTAAGATTGTATACGACTTAGAAGACAGTAACAGGTATGTGATTATATAACAGCCTTAAAATCACCAATAACTAATAGGAGTCAGCAGCTTAATCTCCTGAAGCTACCTGTCAATCATCGTGGGTGTCTGAAGACTCCCGCGTTGAAAAACAATTTTCTCTTTAGAATCAGCTTAGAGAGTGAAATTGTCATTTTTTCCCTTTACTTTTGGGACTGGGAAACTATTAAGAAACATCAAGAAGAAGTAAAATAGCCAATGTCATTCTACTACTGTCATCGCTTTTGTGAGAAAGTACCGCATAAATTACAYGTAATAGCATAGGAAATTTCACATATTCCTCGAAAATAGGCGTTTTTTTATCGCCTTGCATATGGTGAAGATGAAGAAAATGTAGGATGAATATTTGCAGAATAATACATGTGACGATAATAGCTCTTAAATAACGAGAGATCCAAGGAACTCTTATACATCGCGAGCTATGATTGRTTTAAATATCTCTTAAATAACGCGAGCAACGATTGGTCGACAATTGTCCTTTATTATAATGGTGATAGTGATGATTGCTGATTATCATGATGATCTGATCGGATAAGAATAACAATATGAAACTACAATTCCATCAGAAATCCACACCTATCTTTAAAACGGTCAGAAATTAGTTTTTAGTGATAAAAAATGAAATTACAAAATATAACGGAAATTTAGAAGAAGAGTGTCAATTTTTTTGATTCACTTTCTGGAACTTGATCAGTGAGCTTTTAGTTCCGCTCTTTTAAAGCTACCACGTCCCACATTTAATTGAAATTAGATCTTTTTGATGGTATAGTTAGTAAAAGACTTCAGGCTTTCTTTTATTTGYAGATAGACTTCTACAAAGTAGAGCCATTTTCCTTCTACGGTGTTACGGGAAAGCACTTAGGCAACAATTTTGTGATTATTGGCTAGTTTAAGTTTTCTTTCTTTTTCTTAAAAAACGGTGCCGTTAAGTGGTCCGGATTCGCGGTTTTCAATCGTTGATTGAACAGTGTGTACAAAGGCATCGCATGCAGTAGAAACATCTGAGCATAAGTRATCTGCCTAAATGAAAGCAAGAGCCGGATGAACATGACAGATGCTGAATTTGGTTACAATGGCGAAATGCTACTCTGGAATGCTAATTGGTGTTATACTACACTTTGTTTATAAATCAAAAGGTACTGATAAATCTGTACACAAATATGCCAAGTAAATAACTAGGAATAGCTCATAAAGATTACTGGCAAAGAACGAAAGAAAGAAAAARAGAGTTTATGAAAAAGCCATACACGTACAGTTTTAAGTGTATGGAAAAATCTTCCGATTAAAAAAACTAGAATATAGCACATTTCTATGTACGGGAAAGAAAGAAAAAGATGACAGCTTATGATAAAAAGGAGTATAACAGAAGTACAGTGAAATACCTGTATCTAATATCTACATATATGTTATGCAAGAGAGTTGCGGTAGCAAAATTGGCAGTTTAATGAAGAACTCGTTTAGGCCGATGTAACATCCTATTTAGGAAGATGGTTGTTTGATTTGCTAACGATTGCATTCACAAATTATCGACAAAACCGCGATTACCAATTTCGCAATTTTACTTATATATTTATACAAAAATAGGAAGTGAGTTTTATTAAGTAAATACTTCAAAAACAGTTTCTCGGTTTAAGTAATTGTAAATCATCCCCAGGAATCGTTTACATAAGATRTCACAATGGAATCACATTGTTCACAACTCAACATGGCGTCCGATATCCGATTTTTTAATCGACTATAGTTAATTACTTTTAAAAAAACTGAATAGAATGGAGTGACAACAASAGTTTTTTTTAAGACTATGAGATAAACTTTATTCTATATTGTATACAGGTGGCCTTAAACTATTAAGGCAGTCTTTCACTCCCAGCGGAGACGGAGACATCAGATGTAACATGCAGGGAACAGAAGGTTTTTCTATTTTTGCTTGCTTTATTTATTTGCTTCCTTCTCAGTTTAATGAGTTTTCATGCACGGAAGTGGCTTTCGTCTCATCTAGCTCCGCACATGAAACGAAAACCTCCGCAATGAAATGCGAGGTTTTTTTCTTTAAACTCTAAAAATGCCAACGTCATAAAATGGATATCAGTCAATTTAATACTTTTTCTTTTCTATGAATTGCAATGTTTTCAGTAGGTCCAATGTCTAAACTGTCGCATTTTACTGCATAGAATCACATAAAGATTTTTTGGTACTTTTTTCGCATTACGAATGCGTCCATAAACCAAAAAAATAGTATTCAACAACTAAAATAGTGTTAATTTTTTATAGATGTTTTCATAAAATGTGTTAGTTAACGAATCACTTCGGACAATGAAACTTCAATGGATGATATTGTCTCCCAACCAATTTGACAAAGATTGTCTTGTTTAAGACAGTTAATTCAATCAAAATTGATTCGTTCGCATAGATTACTGCATATTCTGYATTTTCAATTGTTATCTTACGTACAGAAAACCCTAGATACCAAGAAAAAGTCCATTAAAACGATGTAAAATGGGGATTCTGGCGACTTAAAAACCTCAGTAGCTGAATTTTTTTTATCGGCAAAGTGTCTGTAGAGCCGACTGCAATTCAGAATTCTAAAAACACAAAATCTTCGGCGTTTTCAAAGTAGAAAAAACAAGGTATCGACCATGTATCAACCACAGCATATGTTATCAGTCTACGCGGAGACTAATAAACTAGCCGCGGCATTTAAACCGGATTTTTCAAAATAWAGSCSAATGTTTTGTTATTTMGATCGTCAGTTTACTCAATATTTACTTCTAAATTTCATTTATTCAATCGAAATATTTCTTTAATTAGGTACTTACATTCTTTTCTTGAGTCTTTTTATCCAGTCTTGAAGCTTATATCCGCCAAAATGGTTAAATAAAACATCCTTCCGGCAAATCAAATATGGCGCCTTCAGTAGCTTCCGCCAGGCGTTACTARCACTAGTGTACAAGCTCTCTCGGTCAAAAGACAGGGAGCCCAAAGCAAAGGACAGGAAGCCCAAAGAGYGTGTTCTGCAAAAACATTAGAGATATATAATACAATCAATATTAAAAATCAAAACAAACTTTCAGTCAAGTCCAGAATAAARTTAATCACGTGATTTGATAGTAAACAAAGATATATTACGTGGGCGCTCGCGTCAAAGGTTAGAAAACCTGTTACYATAGCAACTAGTTTTCATCGAAACAGGAACTAGTTGTTCAATAATTAWGATTTGGTCTSTGYCATATTCATTGTTTCCGGACTTTGTCAGTCTTTCATTTCAGAGCAAATTTGTTSTGTAAAATGTAGCAGTGTATAACAGGAAAGAATTTKAAGACATTTRGAAARAGATTAGAAGTCAATTTYGATTTAAAAGTGCGTTATGTATTTGCAATTGAATGGGGTATTGATCTCAAAATGTGTTGACAACACATAACGAAAAATATTAATTCCTAAATACGTAAACACATCAATTAAAATTCTCTACTTTTGAAAGAAGGGTTTAGCAGTTTCCAAAATACACGAAGCAAATGATGWGAGTTATTGGGAAGTGAATCTCTATTCTTCAGTGAAWGGCTAAAACACACGCAAAGAACATGCTGTGTCTTAACGCGTTTTAACCTGTAAATACGGCGAGATAATAAGAAAAACTTTAATAAGAATGAACTGTGTATTAGCATATCATCGCTGTTATCCAAAGACTCATCAATGCATCAAGAGTTCTATGTTAACTGGAAATCATAGTGGGCGGTGAAAAAACACTGCCAATATAACGACAAAAACAAAAAAATTGACAAAAGAGGGAACACTTCAGATGCTTTGTAAAGACAKTGCGTCAAAAWGAGTRAGTATTTTGTCTGTTTTTAGAATTAATTTTTACTCTATAGTCTGAACAATRAATTGAAGAGTGTGAAATGCCAAACGTTCGTCACTATATCTTAAGCYTGCTAAGGTTCTTTTAGGCAAGAATATTGTTTCTGACAATATTTTAGTCTTAACTATTATAAGCATAAATCTCTTTTTCTCTTTATAATATAGCATCATTTTAATTTCCACTAATTAGGTGGGCATGTTGCGTAGAATATATAATGCGAGTATTGTTCTCTAAAACATTGAATTTTTGAATGGCAAAGACTTATAGTTCGAAGTTGGACACTTCTCACTTTGAGTACCAATTGCTCAAATGACAAATTGAAATGCCATAATGTACTTGACTYGACAAAAAGATTGCTTTCAATAAACTATACAATTCGACTTAACATACCCTTAAGCACTTCAGGAAACTAAACTTTGATCGCGAGCGCAAAACGCCCAAAGATTTCTCTATCATTTAATCGTATCAGAAGATTAGTATATTGTAGCTCATGGTATTGGATCAGTGGTCCGTTATRCTGTCTCTTACACACAACGCTTTACTTCACGCAATCGACCTTAAATGAGTCTAAAGTGAGTACTAAATGAATTGAATACATTTAAAGACTGYGATAGCACTGATTTTAGCGTCTTAAATAATGAAAACATATTGGGAATGGTAGGAGTGAAGTCGATGCGGGTTGGTATTGGTTGTCCGCAAACACGCATATWSTTGCAAACTGATTTTAAGCTTGGCTTTTTCTGATGAAAAAAGGCGCAAGCGGCAAGCGCATGAGCACGTCTTCAAAAAGCTAATAAAATAAGCATAAGTACAAGAAAAACAAGCACGTTCTCACTAAAACTTGATGAAAAAGGCATAAGAGTGTCGARGCCTGCTAATCTTTTATGATTATACGACCTACATAGTGGAGAATGGTCTAATAGGATTTCAGCCAGGTTTGTTCATTATCTCRCAACTTAAAATCATACTTTACTCCAATTCACATGCAATTCACATGGTTTTTTTCCAGAACTTACTTCCATTTAAATACAGTCATTAGCAATAGTCTGGTATTGGAAATTCTTTGTAATTTTCGCTCTTTTCTCGTCAAATGAGGTTGCAAATCAATGGAAATGAAGGAATTATCGTTGTCGGGTTATTCGATTATATTCTACAGTTAAATGAAAAATGTAGAGGTTTGAAATGTCAACTACACTACATAATATAAATGTATACAGTATATGCTATAATTACTATTAACAGTGTCGTTTATATATATTTATACACTTTATATATTCATATATATACGTGTGCGTAATAGGCCTTCACATGACGATAACTAGATTATCTGCACAATAAACGTCATAAAAATCCTTCGATGCAAAATAGTCAAATATAAACTAAGTTCAATATTCAAGATATTGAATCTAGCTACTTTATGGTCCTTTATCGACTTATATACCAAGCGTACAGAAATAATCTCTAACATTTGTTACTAAAAAGAGTCAATTGTGCTGCTGCTGTCCGGAAGGTATGAATCAATGCATTGCATGTACAACATTTTTATATGTTTTTAACTTTTCTCTGAATAGCTCTCCGTTCTCGAAGAGCTTACTCTAGATTCAAACTCATTCGTGTGGGCCGTTACTTTAATAAGGCTGAGACTAGGTTTAAAACTCATTCACATTGTAGCTTCTTCTTTGTACAGCACTACAATTGCTGTTTTTAAGTTTCCTGGCAATACCACAGCAAGGTGACAGCCCAATTTCTTAAAATATCAGGTGTTTGTCAGATGGACTCAGACAATTACAACTGCCCAAACTTCTGAAAATCATTAAAAAAAAGCTGTTCATTATGCAAACCTATGAGGTTTTAAGATTAAGGTATAGTTTTTGAGCATAACGGAGGCTAAAATATGAAATACAGTGCTGTCTACGTAACTGCTTTTTTATTGAGAACAATACCATTGAGGAACACATATTCCAGAACTAAAACGGTGATATATATGCATATTGATTACTGATTGATTGAGAAAGTCTTTATCATATAATAGGTCGTAATAGTTTCAGGATTCAGTAGATTAAAATCGTCATCAAAAGGTTTACTAACGCATAGTCAAAACATATTCAAAAAAATCAAAAGTTTCAATATAAATTGGGATTGTTCTAAAAAAAAAACGCCACAGGAAAGATTTGTTTGATGATCTGAAACCTTTAGAAGATTTGAATATACAATGAAGTAGTTTATTTCATATGTACGTATATTTGACTTTGAATTAGAACTCGAAACGTCAATATGTAATTGTATATGTAAAGAAACGGCCCGATATTTTCTAGTTTTCAAATATATATTGTCAGTGATTGGATGGTRCTTTCTATAGTGTTTTGCTATTATTCGCCTCTCCTCTGTTCCCTGAATGCTGTTCTATCGTGTTAYATTTATCTTGCTATTCCGCCCCCATATGGCGACCATAATCCTTAGCGCTACAMCAWKRCAATGTTTTGAAAATGGGACGAAATAGCCTGGGACGTTAGCATTTCATCAGGTGGAGTCGACGAGGTCTGTTCTTCTAAATAACTGTTCTTATACATATTTTTCCTGGGAAAGGGATTTTAAACTAAAATTTTGACAAGCAACTGTGGTAACGTTCCAGTCTGGGAAAAACTCTCCCTTCTGGTCGCTAAAGCATTTGAGTATTTAAAAGATATTTGTGATTTTCCTTCTTCCTGCAATGGACGTAAAGAGTTTGAAAAATTCTTTAAACCTATTCCTCTCCTGGAATAAAAAATGTATTATAATTTTGCTGKCAACTAGTTTGTGACTTACAGCTGGCTCTGGGACATTAGAAAAGATATATTTTCCGTCCGCTCCTCTTGATTTCATTGATCTGTACTAAATGTGCAATTTTCTTTGMAATATGGCTTATTAGCTGGAGATTTCATTTCCAACTGAACTCACACAGCAATTAAGGTCCTGTATGGATTGACCTGCAGTCAGTTCACAGTATTTCATGGAAAGTACATTGATCAATATATGATTGCAGATAGAAAAGAGTTCAAACACAAGCGTGAAAGTATTAACTAATTGAATAGGTTAGTAATCATTCGACTATGAAATATTATAGAGTATATAAAAAAGGTCATAAAATCCGTGAAAAAAATCTAACTGTTCAAAAGTTATAGCCCAAATAGCAAAAAGAAAACATTGAAATTATTAGAGCGCACTAAGGAGTATTAGTGTAATATCTTTTTCACGGGTTTTTATTCACTCTGAGAAAAATAGTTGAATTAATATCAAAACATTTCTTTGGTTCGCTATGCACTAGTTTAATGAAATATAGGCAGTCATTTTAAAAACACTTGTGCTAAATACAAATGAATAGTGTCCAATAATAACTAACAATATTTAGCACTATCCGGTTTGTAYTATTAATAATGCTTTTAGTGGTTGCAAACTAGTGTGTTGAAATATTAAATATCAAATATTGATGGCAATGTTCATAGAGCGAAGGCAGTTAATGTGTTTCTATTAAACGAAAATCTTCCATATTTCATTGCACATCAATTCGTTTGTTACCTTATTTATTGTTTCACTCAATCTTTTTTCATTAATGTATTATACATTTATTCCCCTATCATTTTTTCATTCAATTGTTCATCCATCCATTCATTCAATTTTCGTTGATCTATTTCATTTCGTTCTCATTTAATTCCCATTTATTCTCATTCATTCCCATCCATTCTTTTARTCCTGATCAAGTCGATAGCGCTTTTGACTTTTCTAAAGCTTTGCATCAAGTCAGATATCATTATAGTAATGTTTATAAATGCCTTGTAGAAGTAATTCCTAGAGCACCAATGTCGATAAAATAGCGGAAGTAATAAATRGAACCTTAGATTCAAGAGGAACAGATTGCTAGACAAACAACCACGGAAGTACTTCATCAAAATAGTCACCAAAACAAAGCCCTAGGCTTCGCTGTACAGCCACGTGATACGTGATGTTCCAATCTTCAATTAATCTTTRAGGCGTTATAAAAGCAAAAACATTTTCGTAGCTTCATTGTAGCGCGCAGCCGGGAAGTGCAGGCTTTAAACAGGTGCTCAGATGGAGAATTCATAAGAACAAAAAAAGTAAGATTTCGTAGATTTAGTTTTCATGAGAGGATCAGTTTGTAATGAAAGTAATCTTTACTTTTAATTGCGAAAAGCGTAAAGCAAGCGATGTTTTCTCTGCCAGATAAACTTGCAATYCAAAAGCTTTTATGTGAAAGCTTTAAGATAAAAAGCTCTCAAGTTTACTGAAAATAGTCTATTTATAACTGAGTCAGAAAAGTAGCTATTGGAGATATAAGTACTGCATATGTAGACTTTGTTGTTGTGCTATTTTCAGTCAGTACAACAAACAACAAGATCTTTGATTGAACTTGAACTTTGTCTGAGCTAGTGACGAGCGGATTGTGGTGAGTAAGATATGACCCAGTAGGAATAGACAGTTGACGTAATAACCATAGTGATAAATGAAAGAAAGAATAGAGAAAGCCTACTAGATGAGTTAAGTCACATGAGTGTATTTTTGGAACAGAATAGATTAAGGAAAACTTAAGGAATCGAAAAGAAAATGACTGTAAATGAATGAAAGAAAGGGAAGAATTTCACTGCGTCTACTCAAAGCCACCCAAACACATTTTTCACAAACTGATTTTTTTTATACCATTCAAATGCGCATGGTCTGTTGCAGTTAAGTACAGTTCTGCTGTTATTTAGCAATCATACCGAACTGGCTGAAAAATCTTGTTGGAAATTAGCTAATAGTAGTCGTGGTTGGCGGCGTAGGCGAGCTGTGAGGACTAAATAAGCGATTAAGTTGATGAAAGAGGATGTAGTGGAAGTTTTTATAGCCTCTTTTTAGCTAAAGTTTGCAAAAAGTATGTTCTGACTAGGAGACAACCTAATTGAAAAGAACCCCTCCCCTCCCTACTCACACGACCCTCACTAATGAATGAAATAATCATTACATGGACAATGAATAAAAAACGAAAAAAGCGTCGAAGGATCATTGAATTATGGAAAACTAATCTAAACTAAGGAAGCTACGAATGATTATTCAACTAAATAGAGTTAAAAATGTTATGGTTCCATTTACCAACTACATAAATATTGCATGCTCATTTTTGCGGTCCAAAACAGCGTCGTAATAGATAACATTATATCACTCCTTTTTATCTTAATACCTACYGCCTGTTTATGATTAAATTTCAGTTTTTCAGGGTCGGTTTTAATTCTCATTGATGCTTTAATTGAACTTTATAGACTTTTTGATGTTCACAACTTCGTAGTTACTTGATGACACCTCSCTTGAATCAATATCTTGATCAGAAATATTAATTGTAAAGACTTGTGCATATCTTAATAGTAATTGTTATTTTTTGGAGAATTTATGAACGCGAGTGTGAATGTAAAGAAACGGGGTTTTTTATTAAAAAATGAAAGAAAACAGTCAAAAAAAAAACAACAAAAAATGTTGATGCACTCAACGGGAATGGCTTATTGAAATCATTTAACTTCCTGGTTGTTAATTTGTCTGGAGGTCATTTCCAAAAATACAAAAAATGCCCAATGATTAGATKTTGTTTGGCCGGCATTTTATATTCGGCTCTGTTTTCGTTATTTCTTAATATTTTTTTGCCTACACTAATCAATAAAAACCCTAGGGGTAACGCACGAGAACTAAAAATATTTGATTTATAAATAGAAATGGTTAGTAAGAGAGGAGCTACGATGCTGAGGCAACTCAGTCGTACTTAATGTGAAAAAGTTGAGTTCCTCTCGATAGGGTTGAGCTCTAATAGAGGAACTACGTTGGGCTGCTACCTATAGTCMATSAATTCAGTGGGTGGACAGAGAGATCAACTCCAGATTGATATGATCTCGATTGATTCATTAAAGAAAACTTTTGTRTATATTCATTGCAATTGTTCTTGTTTTGTGGGATTTTGTTGTAAGATAAATTAATAAAACATCAATCCGAGCAAAACAATATGATAGCAGATCGATTTGTTTTCGATAACTCTATATTGGTCACAAGTTACTTGAAAGAGTAACGAGCTATTTTATATTAATGCATAACAATTTTCGTTTTTCAAATCGAGAAGATCAAGTAACAGGAGCAGGTGCAACAAGAATCCTACAAAAAACCTGTTATTATCACTAAAAGTGTTAATTCACGCGAGATTCGAGCAAAAAGTGTTCAATTACATCTTAAAATAGTATACATGTTGATGATTTTCAAGCGACGTTTTTTAGTAATGAAAACATCAAAGAGGAGCCGACATTCTTGGCTTGATCACTTATACGTAGAGTAAACCCAGCCGTAATTATATTATCTTTTATGCTAACGCCGCTCTATTTCTTATCAGGGAGAAGATAGAATCCGCCTTTTTGAAATCATCATTTAGTATCACCAGTACACTTCCTTGAAAACAACGGAGTCAAAACTCATCGGAGTCAAAACTCATCGGAGTCAAAAAATCGTCGCAGTCGGAGCTTTGCGTCAAAATGACGAATAATTCAACGGGAGCATTCGACGACGGATCAGCGTCATCACAAACTATAAAAGTTGTTCAATACATATTCTATGCTATCATCATTGTCGTGGGAATAACAGGGAATTCTCTAGTTTGCAAAGTAATACTTGCTCAACGACGAAGAAGGCCGAATGAATACTTCATTCTYAATCTTGCTATTACAGATCTGGGGACTTGCGGTTTGAGCGTTCCGTTTGACATTGCTGAGCAATTGAGCGGGAAATTTCTGTTGGGGAATTTCTTATGCAGGGTTATCTATCCATTGCAGACGATTTTCATGGCAACTTCAGTATTCACACTACTTTGTCTTAGTCTTGAGAGATACAAAGCTATAGTACTTCCACTAGAACCTAAGCTTCGCCGTCCAACAGTCAAGCTAATGTTACTTGCAACATGGGTGATATCATTGGGCGTGGTCGTACCTTATATCAGCGTCCTTAAGTTTGATTACACAAGCGAACAATGCCTGGAAAACTGGCCAAGYAATCCCTTATATGTCAAAGTCTACACTTGTAGTGTATTTATTGTATTATATCTCATACCGTTATCTATAATAATAGTATGTTACTTAAGAGTACTTTTTCGTCTTTACCACGACAAATCCCATATTGTTAGGCTGATGGGTGGCAAGAGCCGGTCGCATTCCGAACGATTGATCCGCCAACGTGCCGAACAGAACCTYCATATGGTAAAACTCTTCGTGACAGCAGTTACTGCATTCGCGATTTGCTTTTTACCATTTCATGTGATTTGGTTGTGGAACGACTTTGGAGACGGAGGCAAAAACCCTCACTTTGGTATCACACTAGAGTTTTGCAACATACTGGCGTACAGTAATAGTATCGTTAACCCTTTTATATTTGGTAAACTGGAATTACGTGGGTTCTGYAGCGGTAAAATTRGCGCAAGGGGTATCTTCTCGTTAAGATCYAATTCTACCGCTTCGTCCTTCGAGACTTCAAGCTTTCTTAAAAGTTCAAGAAGACTATCTGTYAAGCGTTTATCAAGAGGGTCTAATAGATCGAATACATCAAGCCAAGTGTGAATACAACCACAACRGAACCGCAATCTTACGCAGCGCACGCAGGAAAGACCGCARWTAAGAATCCGCAATTACTTACGTACCTTCAAGCGTTTATCAAGAGTCTCTACAAGATATATCAAACATCAAGTCAAGTGTGAATAAACCACAGCGCAACCGCAATCTTACGCAAATCATGCACGAAAAGCCTCAGTAAAGTGTCYGTAACTCTTACGTAACTTCACGCGTTTACCAAGACGTTCCGCAGCAGAAATAGAGGTGGTCCACTTAAACAATATTACTGAACTGCACGRAGTGGAAGAATCGCAATAGATCATGTGGTGGGTTTTATGCGAGTACTGAGCGTTAAGAACTGTCCATTTCTACAATGCAACTTTGCATCTTCTAGGGTTGATGGCTCTGCCGCGCTTACAACCTTTCGTTACAAAAAGTGTATATATTGTATAAATAAACTAACTGTAATATTTTGGGATACAATAGAAAWCACAAYACGGACGCTGTTACGGAAATTCTTTRCATTYCATAACGACTTGTGGAAATGRCATACGTGACGCAACAACGTTRGTATTCTATGATAAGGATGATATTAGTTGATAATAAAATTGATAATCATAACGTAAAACTGACACAGAAACGTAAAAATTTCTTACGTCTTATAACGGCTAGTGGAAATTACATACGTGACGCAACAACGTTAGTATTCTAGGATGATAATGGTTAATAATAAAGTTGGTAATCATAACGTAAAGCTGACACAGAAACGTACATTCCTTACGTCTTTTAACGACTAGCGGAAATTACATACGTAACCCATTAACCGTAATATTGGTACTTGCAGTATAATGATAATATGAGTTGAAAATAAAATAAAAATTAAAATTACCTGTCGACTACGTAAATTTTATATGATTATGTTAAATAAAGATTTGTCGGTGACGTAACGTGCTCTCGACAAATGAGAATGCGTCTTTRACTGAGGTGACGTAATGTCAAAACGTGACGTGACGTCATAAAAAACTGCGGTGTGTTTTACGCTTGGTTTTGCGTATATACGCAACATTGTTACGTAACTTTTACGTAGGCATTGAGCCATCTAAAAATACSGGCATAATAGCTTTATAAATGGTAACAAATGGACAAGAAATAATTTGYCTGATAAGTGATCAGTTCAAACATGACATTTCCAAGCAATAAAAGCCACTGGAGACATAAAGCTTAGTGGCGATTTACAAAACGATACAACGGCTTGACAAACAGACACTGTAGCGCCTATGACACTAAGTGATATATTAAAGCATCCTAAGTTTGTTATACTTAAAAAAAAAACGCTTTATAATTGGACTTTTTTAAGAGTGCACTGCACAAGGTATATCTAACATGTGTGTCCGACTCGAGGGGAGGAGGAGGGGAAGGGGACTGGGAAGGAGACGGATATAGATGATAATGTACAATATTGTTTCYTATGAGTCAGCATAACTCAAGCCCAAAGTCAAATTTACAGTACTTAACTTCGTGGGAACTTTAGAGTTTCCTCGTGCAAGTAATTTCACATTATACACTTTAGGATTTACAGCGGAAACTAGTCGGATTCGTGAACCTTACAGTAGTCTCTAGTTGAGACAATGTTGAGAGCCTACTTTTTTATTGCCCATTTTAACATGAAGTGAGGTCATTAAACCCGTGAAACAAAATCGCAGCTTTCGAGGTGTGACAGACATATATATACAAAAAACAGCAGAATTAAGTCGCATTTTTTAAAAAAAGACTAAAAAGACTTTTAAGTCTTTAAGACTACTAGTGCAATATCTATTTCACGGTTTTTTTGATCCACTATTTCACATTCAATGTCTTTTTGTTYATACACTCTACTTTTTTGACTTAGCTAAATGTGCTTAGGTTTTTGTTTCACGGGTTGAGTCATCTGTTTCATTAGCATGTAGTTTATTTTAGACATCAATTCTGATCTATTCTAGTAAATAGTGAGTCAGCATTTCTTGAAACCCATGATTGGCCAGCTGGAACCTACATACGTCATGATAGTCTCCATTTATAGTAAGAGCAGAGTAAGCCATGCAATTATAATGGTGTGAAATATTGAAAAATTTGAAAATGAGGTATTTATTTGCTAAAAAGGAAATACAGTATGTTATACGAGTATTCAGGAGGGTTGCTATTGAATTGGTGTTTGTACTGAGCTAAAACAATTCCCAATTTTTCACGTTTTTTTTTAACGTCAACAATTCAAAGACATTATTCAAAAACAAAAGAAACTACTTTGGGAAACTAATTGACTAAGATTAGAAACCACAGGGCAAATTTGATACGTACAAAGCTATAAATTACAGGGGTTTGTAGTCCTATGCTACTCCAAATTCCATCGCGTGCCATTGGCCGAATGAATTAGAGAAATTTCAAATTGAATGAAATTGCGAAGTCTAAATATACATTTGATAAAGTATTAATTAATATACTTGCACATGATAAATATTTAATGCAGACTGTTATATATTCCTATGGATTATAGTTTCTCAATATAATTGAAGGAAAATATGCTGTTATTGTTTGTTACTAGGAATACGTATATACTATAGTTGTCCAAACATTAAAAGTTTGCCAACCTTCCTTACCATCTACTAACTATGGAAAKTATATACTAAAGTATGGAGTTTATATTTGTCATGTGTTCTCAAAAACTCTCAATACGCAAACACGTCAAGAATAATTGAAGAATCTATGAAATTCTAAAGAAAACTAGAGAATGATAAAAATTTAGACAAAGTGCATGGGTCTTTTTCTTTAGGAAGTTAAATTAAGTTCACAATACGGATCCCACAATACTCAGACAGKAAACTTGAAATTCCTGTTTTAAGCAGACCGCGAAAATACTGTCATTTTTCCTTTTTTTTGAATATTATTGCATTATAAAATAGTTGTCAGAATTGTATTTTATGACTGTATACTGAATTCGTTTTATTTCTTTTTATTCTAAGCTGACTCATCAGTTAATTAATTAACTGTCTTTTAAGATAAGTACCCAAGTACATAAGGGACGAAGTTAAACAAATAGCCCCTGTGGCTTTACTTTCGTGACTTTACATAAAGGGAATTTATAGACGTCAATCAACTACGGAAACAATATATAGGACCCGACATGCACTAKTGATGCCTGATAGCTGAGCAGAGAGTTCATACCAAGAAGACCACAGGAAAACTACACAGAAAGCTCAAGAAAATAAGAATCGGTAAGATAAACCATTCGTCCATTTTTAAAAASGTTTGAGGAAAAAATAATGTTAAAATTCAATGAAAAGCACTTGGAATAAAATGGAGGGTATAGTTAGCGAACTACCAGTTGCAAACTTGCTAAACTTTGTTTACAAGGTTAAAGTAGGTGTTAAAATATATCAAATGAAACGTTTATTATATATGTAATCATTAGAATCATAACGAAAACGAAAACGTAAGAACGAAACCAGAAACGTAAACCCGAAAACACTGKATTTATTATATCTTATAGCATATGGTTTTTAAGTGTCAATATTGCAAGCAGAGAACGACACTAGCAAACTCAATATTGATATAGTTTTTTTCAAAGTTATATAGTTTTATATAGTGATTATTTTTCGTCTTGTGAAAGGAAGCTTTTATTTCGTAGACATTTTTCCTTTTGCAAACATGTGAAATGAGCGAAAACGTACAAAATGTATAAAGACGTTTTTTTCAAAGTTATTTTAAYAGCGGATTTTGAGCCAATGCCAAAAATGGCTGCCTTGCCTTGCGATTTATTTAAAAGAATTCTAGAGAAACGCCGTCACTTCTTGTGAAAAATTCTGAAAAAGCAACCAGAAATCTTTGTATATTGAAAGTCTCACGTTCAAGCATCAAACATTTGTGAAGCTATTCAAGATTCAAAATGAAGAGTTTTATGTGTGTTTCTTCACCACTGCACTTTACGGACTTTGGTCTTGTTTTGGCGTTTTCACGCATTTTCACTCTCGCAATAACTACACACACAAATGTCACGATTTTAACTGAAACACATGAAGCTTATTGAAAGCAATATATTTCATCGTTTAAAATGTTTGTTCCACTACAAAACGAGAAAAAAGTTTCAGTAATATGGCAGACATATTGGYATGATTTCGTTCTGGGTGTTTTTGGTTAACGATTACCACTTTGGTCACTATGCATAAACATATCCCGACTATTTTCTCTTAGAAATGGCCTCCAACATGACCACCACACCAGAACCCGAAACAAAGTCAGAGCCCGAACCTGAACATCCAAGCCTGTTTCCAGAAGTGATGCACCAACAAGCCGCTTTCCTGCTTTACGGAATTTTGATTTTCGTTCTGTTTGTGATTGTGATTGTGCTTATTGTTCTGTTTCATCTGCTAAAATCAAAGTAAGTATGACTGTGATATAATCTAGAAGCGTTCTACATATCACGGGAAAAAATCGCTCGCTTTAAAGGTTGTAAATTTGATGTAAATATGATGTAAGTGTCCAAAATTCTGTAAATTTGATGTAAATGATTTTCCATTAAATTTACAGAATTTTGGACACTTACATCATATTTACATCAAATTTACAACAATTTAAAGCGCGCGATTTTTTCCAGTGTATATGATGATGATGATGATGATGATAAATGGTGATTAACTACCTACAGGGTCAAGAGAGCGATCAACAAAATGGAAGGAAGCGGAAACATGAAAATGGGAAAAGGCTACGACAACGGTACGAAAACGTTACGAAGGGATGGGGGCAGGACATGCAAAAACTAATTGAGAACGTCTTTAAAAAAACAAACATGAGAATGTGTATAGCCTGGAGAGGATCCATTTTGAGGCCAGCAAACTAGTAAAAGACTTTTGTACCTTTGAAAGCTAAGTTCCAGTTATTCTATTCCAATAATTAGGTTCTGTCAATAATCAGAGTGACAACTATAAAGCCGCGAAACAAAATTAAGATGTGATAGTCAAATAAACATAGAAATAGTAGAACAGTCTAGTGCTGATTACATTAGTGATATCTATTATTTGACAACTGTATTAGAGTTTTTTAAACCCGTGAAACAAAGTATAATAGTAAAACTGAGATAAAGCGTGAAACACCAAAAAATACAAAGAAAAACGCGTATAATAAATAAAAAAATAAAGTGTTGAACACAATATTGTATTTCACGGTTTATCGTACCGTCTAAACTTCGCAAGTCAGAGATTCATTATGAATGGCCACTTATCGTATGTTTTCTCTCTTTTTAGGTCACGTTGCAGCTTGAAGTGTCCAGAAAGGCATTATAATCCATCAATATCAATATTAAAGGATATGAAATCATTTARTAATAATCAACACATTACTTGACAAGGAAGTAATCATCACCATAACGAAATTGCTAGCGTAGATATTTCACAACTTAAAAGTCTATATCGATAATACTTCAAGTCTGTGAGAAGTTATACTAGGCAGTTTTTGCAATAATTCCATCATAAAAATAGATAATTTCATTCCCAGCACATAACGGAGCTATTAATTTTATCGAGTAGACTAAATGGTCCTTAACTATCAAGAAAATAGTCCGATATATCATTTTGGTAATCATAGTCTCCTCTTCTATGTTCCTCGACTACTGCCTYCTTCTATTATGTCCAAATAACATAAATAATTAATGGAAACGCTTAGATGGTATTGAAAGTATGTAGCTAATCGGCCAAGAACGAATGTACAACATTATGATATCTCATACTTTTGAAGGACTTAGCTATGTACTGCCTGTTAGGCCTAGTAGCATGTAGGGAAGAAACAAAAGGACTGAAAGACTATTATTCTCTGAGAGGAAGAACTATATACTATCCAAGAACATTAACAAACTTAACAAGCAACATTAGCGCGTTTCATATAAAAAACATCATTTCACTTGAACGCTTTTAACTTACTAAACTATAATATGAAAAATACATGTTATATTTATGTAATGTACTTTCTAATAAAGATATGTATCTTATATCATGGTGTTTATTAATTGAAGGGCTGTTTTTATTTACATTGGTTGCCATGATGCTTCGTGCCTGCGTGACGTCCTTCCTTGGAAAGAGCATTGGAAAAAACATAACATAAACATAGGTCGTCATAGGAAAAAAAAAAGAGGTCTTCGTAGAGGCTTTTGGATAATATAAAGTGTCGATGGATTGAGAGACCAAATGAAGCTGTTTCAGACAGTGTGTAAAGGCGCGAAGGAGTTTACTAACACAGACATACATGTATCAACAGACTGGTAACTTGAGGGGTGTGGCATTGGCAACATTATTCCCAGCCCTTTATCTCTACACTTAGGCATGGATATTGGCATGGGAGTTACCGTCTATAATACATGGCAAGATCTTTTATTTTTTATACAAATAYGTTCTGTTATACAGTGCTCGACCAAATTAAATACTTCTTCTAACAGTTCAAAAATATAGATATATATATTTTTAAGCAATTTACAGATAAATAGTGTTTTGCCTCAATCATTACAATATAAAATAATTTATCTTAACAATATTTATTGACAAAACACTAGTTATTTCTATATTTAGACGTTTGGATACAAACATCTTGATACAATTGTAAGAAGCTGTGTAGCAGCTCCCCAGTGGAGAGGGGTGGGGGTGGGCTGGGGGATTGAGAGGGGAGGGGTTGGGAATGTTTTTAGCAATGTGGGCATACATATCCCTTAAATTTACCATATTGCTAAATCATACCCCCTGATAAGAGAATATCATTGAAATATAATATTATTAATATTTCTTTTCTTCAAAGAAGAGAAGTCACTTTTCTATGAAAGCAAATAACAATATTTTGTACAGATCCTTGACCATTTTTGAGGAGAAACTTTGCTAGGGTTTTGATTCAAGCATTCACATCAAATACCAACATCTATCAATCATCTACCAACCTACAGACTGGGCTAGTAAGCTACCAATTCTTGTTAGAAAACCTATCAAATCTAAATTCTCTCTTCTAGGCTCAGCTTTCAACTTTGGGACTATACAAATGTTCTACTGAGCATTTCTCTCAGTGCAGTTAATCCATCCCGTTCAAAATATCAATTGAAATATTTGACATAACTGATATAACTGTACAAGACCATGGGTTATGAGTCATATTAGTACCCAGGTTATTAGCAGGGCCAAATTGCCACAGGTATCCCAATTCACATAAATCTATATAAGCCCAGAACCTAAATAACAKTAAAGATCCTGAATAAACGAAGCAGCTATTGTATAAGAGTTTAACTGGCTACCCTTTCTTGACTAACTGCTTATATCTGCAAACAGGTATTCTATGTTTTCCAGCATTAGACATGTGAATGTGTTGATCTGTGCCATGGCATCCAATGATGCTGCTTGGTTTTTGCCCCAAACAAGATTAGGGCCAAAAACAATAGCTAGATTACTAGCTGTCATTTTAGTAATGGGATGAGCTTGAACCTGGAACAAAAGGGAGATGCATTTATTTAGTCTATAGTAGTAATATGGTAGCTACAGCAAGAAAAAAGTTTATCTCAGTCATTTTCCCATTTATTCATCCTTCCATTCATCTTATCACTTTTTCATTCAACCATTTATCCCTCTGTCCATTAAAATATATTATTTGTCCTTTTATTCAGTCACTCATTTAATCATTTATCTATGCATTAATTCATTTGTAATCCCATCCACTTATCCATCCATCCTTCCATCCATTCATTTAAAATTTACCTCTTTAAGGAACATCATTATATATCTAAGAAGCTCAAAGTTTTGACTAGGAATTTGTCGATGAAGAATTCTCCAAGTCTGCATCAACTTTTCATTACGATCTGATATTGCTGAAAACCAAACAGTTGTTCATTAATAAAGAAAAGACATTAAGCCTGTGAAACAAAGCCTAAAAATCAATGTACAATTATGTTGGTACCTGTAACTGATGGAATAATATCACACAACTCAAAGGTAAGCAAAGGTTCTGGTAGCTCTCTCAAAAACTTCTTGATAATTGCTGCAGCACAATGAACATCCCCAAACTCACTGTAATCCACAGTTTTCCCAAGGTTAAACATCTCAGCAACTCTTTTGACAAGAGCGCTGTTAGCAGACCTTCTAAAAAGACCTTCAACATCAAGACCTGGAAAAAAAYAAATATAAAATAATATATATGCTATGTTTTCAGAGAACTCTTTCTGGCAACAGAAATGAGTGCAATATGGTAGACAAAGTGATGAATTCAATGGTCCTTAGTGAGGAAAAAAGTTTGTTTTGACCCCAAAATGAAGGTGCTTTGATGTCACATGTAAGGGGTTTATTGTACTGTATGATAAAATGTCTTACCATATTCTGTTAGGAAAGTAACTGAAGTAGATATACAAACAGGAATCACATCCCCATTATTATGTTCTGTCATCCTAACAAAAGATGACGTTATACAATATTAGTCAAACAGGACACTAGTTAATTACATGTTATATTTTATTTCTTGAACTATTTAATAATGTACTTGCCAAGCCTATAATTTGTGAAACAACTCATGCATTAAATCACTCATCAATTATCCATTAATTAATTTATGCATCAAATAGTCTATGCACCATCATGAATTCCTTAATGAATTCCTTAATTTATGCAGTTATTAATTCATGTTGTTATTAATTTATGCAGTTATTAATTCATGTTGTTATTAATTTATGCAGTTATTAATTTATACATTTAGTAATTTATGAATTTATTGATTAATCCATATAAATATTGCAAATTTTTACCAAGATAATGAGACCCCAAACTGCTGAGTTGGTGGTATCTCTGGAATGGTGGTATGGAATACTGACGACGCTGCTGACCTGGGTTTATACCTGGTCATCACACTGGCATCATGCCTGGAATACAAAACAACAATCCATTATTCTACACAATAAATAGCTATTTGAAATAAGTGTAATATATGGACTGCAATGCACAATTGCTGTGGTAATGATGATCAGGTTTGCAATGATATGATAAATATTCTGCTTATGATAAATAAATTGTAGTACATATTATTGACTTACTCTTCRACTTCCTTTGGTATATCTAATTGATTGAGGTGAACATGTGCTGATAATTCTTGTAGACAGTTGGCATAAGTTATTTTCTTGGCAAACTTATGACTATATGAAAAACATTAAAAACATCAATAAACTCACAATAATGGTATTATCGTTGTTTTTCATATAGTTAATGATATAATGTAGACAGCGAAATACCTGATAAGTTTTCTGAAAAAGCCCCAGACCATYTTGATAAAGTTTGATGGATGTACAATGTACATTGCCTTGACATTCTTCCTATATCTGAATCCCAAAAMGAATTTGATTACATGTATCACCAATGTATCAGAATGACAGAGAAGTAGAGTCATTTTCATTAGGAAGAAAGATTAGTGAGACACTATAGTTGGTATTACACTCTGAATCTATTGTTTTATTTTGTTCTTTACAAACAAGTACTAACTAAATAGTTATTTTCATTATACAGTAGCGAATGAAAGTGCTATACAGTCAACTCTTGCCTTAAAGACACCCCTCTATTATTGACACCTCGATAGAGCGGATTTCGTATGAGTGGGACACCGTTACCGCACGGTTACCGCACGGTTACCGCACAGTTACCGAACCTGGCCTGCACAATTTTGGTGAAGCAATGGGACACTAGAATTTGGTTACAGTACGATTACGGTCACAGTACAGTACCGTCCGTTTCCCACTCATACGAAATCCGCTCTATTACGAACAGTAAAATACTGAATCCCTGGTGAAAATACAGAAAAATGACTGAAAGTAACTACCATTATTACAGACTCTTGCTACTGTGGACACTAAATTACGGCCCAAGGGTGTCTATAATAGTGAGAGTTGATTGTAGTGTATAGAACAATCAAGGTGTTTTCTTTGAATATTAGACGTTTCAAATACCAATGAATTTCTAACTTACTTTCTTTCTAACTCTCTATAGACTTGCATTAGCCAGGTAAAAGAAGGTTTGTTCTTGCTTGACAATCCATAGTGGAAATACACAATACTGTAATCGTTTTCTACATATTGGTCTAATGTATGCTTGATATATCTGAAATAAAAAGTACAAAATAATATTGTACTTAAAGACTAGGATGATTCACAGTTTTATTGCTACAAACTGGTTTTGTATAGTCATCAGAGATGACTACACTCGTACATATTCAAATAAACTGTAGCTTTACAAGATTAAAATACATTGTACAAAAATTCTGAATGCTAACATATATTATATTAAGTACAGCATGCGTAATTTCATGCAGGTGCCAATTGCTGCCAGTTATTTTGTCTTATAAATACAATATTGTAAATTGTTTAGGTCATAGACACCTACTTCAATCACTCAGATGCTTATTCAAAAAAATAATGAAACCTCTGTTCATGTTCATGCTCTTAATAATAATAAATATAAAATATATAAATGATAATACTTAATTATATTGCAAATCAATAAACCCCAAGTCAGTATATAAATCCTGTATAATGTTCATAAACTAATTCTCTATAAAGCTTAAGTGTTGTCAGTTTGAGACCTTGAAAGGTAAGGTATAATCTTCAACCCTTAGGGGTACATGTCTAGTGTCTTCAATTTAATAAGCAAGTGTCCTCTCCCAGAGTAAATTTCCTGTTACAAGTAAATTAAAAAAAGGTACTGAAAAGATTTCAACKTACTGTAATAGTTTATGATGATCAATCTGATGTAGTGGAGGAATACGACAAGCAGAAAACACTATTACAAGTCTACCACTTTTGTCAGAACCTACAAAATAAAACAAATTTTACAATCAGTTATATATATTATTCTTGAAAGCAGTAATATATCTTTTGGTGGAAAAGGTGTTTTTAATATAAATGAGATCACAATAATAAYCATAAACAAAAGTTTGGAGTAATTTGCTTTGACATTAGCACATGTGCGATTGAAATTATGAAACAGACCTTGCAAAATATAAACAATAATATTTGTAAATACAATTTGAAAATATATATGTACATATCACAATGGCAAATATAGCAGTGCTAACCTGAGACAGATAGTATACGATGCCTTGCAATGCTATGGAAATCATATGACGACAGTGAAGGATATACTGATACTGCAGCGTCACCATCTTCTTTATCAGATGTTGTCTTGTCCATATGCTCAAGCTCTGATATACAAAATCAAAGTTACAAGTACATATCAGAGAAACTACCATGGCTTACTTTAGTTTGGGTATTTGTTGCTTGTAATCTACACATGGACTGACTGCCTGAGAAGGTGAGACATGAATGTAGACCAGGTCTATAGTCATACAGCTCTTGTGCTCGTAATTTGCATTAATCTTTCTCACGTTTTGATTTTGATTTTCTCTTGGTTGGTTATGGAACTTCAAAGAGAGTAATTCTTATGGCAAGCCTAGTCCAGCAGATGAAAATTCAAACTTATGTAGATTATACAGAACACCATGATTACTAGTCTATAGTTCTCAAAAACTGAGTACAAAAAGAAATTTGTTCGCTGGAATAAATCATAGTAAAATCAACTGTTCACCTCAATTATTTCAGTATCAGTCTCAACAAACAATGATTCTTAATCAAAACAAGTTTGTTATTGACTGAAGGAAAGCAAAAAGGAAACAGTTTAAACATCAAATAATGTATGACATTTTTGTGTCAAGTATAACAGTTCCTTTTGTTTAAGTTATAAAATTAAATCGAAAGCWGCAGGATTCTTTAAAAAATACTTACACCACAAGAATACTACACTTACCTGCATGTATKTATTATAAAAGATACATGTGTAACTAATGAAAAATAGACTAGGAAATTATCCAAAACACCCACATAAACCCAAATCTTAATAAATCATTAAACTTTGATTTTTGTGAATGGTTTGTTTTTCTCACCTTTTTTTACAGTTTTCTGTAGATCCTCATCAATGCCATTATGTTCAAACTGTCCACTTCCAACTAAGATGTCATCTTCACTTCCAAAATGCATATGGCTGAACCCTGTTGCCCCTACTAAGTCGTTTGAGATTTCTTCATCTGACTGACTCCCAAATAAAAGTCCGGGTGCACTGTGCCTTGCTAAGCTCCTRTCGTCTTTTACATTCAAACAAGACGCAGAATTTCCCCCACTTTGGGGGMTGTTTTCACATTCCTTTAGAGGGTCGAATTCGTCCAAAATGTCCTCACCACCAAGTYTATCAAAATCTACCACGCCAAATCTCTTYGCTGACGATAAAGACGAATCTAAATCCACTGGAACTGAGTATCTCACGGTTTGGTTATCATATTGTGGTTCAGTTTGACGAGTWTTGTTTTCTAAATTATGTTGTTTTTGCACCGTTGGTTCCTCCATATCCGCCATGTTTTTACAGAATTTGGCGATGACTTCAGAAAACTGGCGGGTTGTATTTTGATTTACATATCCTATGAAATGCTGCAGTTGTCTTATAAAATAATGTAACTTGAAACCAGAGCAAATGATTTTGCGAAAATAGAGAGCTCCTAAATGCAAATATTATAACTTGTTGTCGATGGTTTTAATTAACAGGGTGACCAAAACGACTTTCCCACCCCTCCCAAAGTACAACACGAGCCTGCAATCACACGTGCCATTATAAAACAGACGAAACTCAAAATTTACATATCGAGTTCCGATTCGAAAATAAACGGATTTTATAAGTTATAGCGAAGGTAAATTACCAAGGACATTGTCTTAATAATGGGTAGATTAAGGAAGAAGCGAATGCACAAGAATGATAAGCATCTGAAGAAGAAATATCGGACACGAAACAAGACCAAAGATTTGGATCAAATTCATGAAGATATGGTTCCTCAAAAAGCGTCGAAACTTCTTTCACAGGATACAGATATAGATTTACCTGGATGTGGACAGTTTTACTGCCTCCAGTGTGCGTAAGTATCCCTTAAATATTGACTGAAATAACCCCATAAACGAACAGATTGCTTGAAAACATTWCMTTGCGCAATATTTCGCAATAAAGCTTAACCATGCACATTCCTGAAAATCATCTTCAATGTTAAAATACTAGGTTTTTCGAACTAATAACAGATCAACTCCAATAATCGTTTAAATGAAGTTTAAGACTTTTTTATAAGTATGAAAATATCCCCTGAGGGGAGGTGTAAGTATACATACTTTGCATCCTCTCTTGTTTGRTTGACATCTCCACCATATAACAGTAATGTGGGCTTTGTCTACATTTCTAAAAAGATGGAAAAAYACTGTTAACAAGACTGAGCAATATATCTTATCATTTCATTTTCTAGGAGATATTTTACTGATGACAAAAGTCTGCAAGATCATTTTAAAGGAAGAGTTCACAAGAAACGGTATAAACATTTTAGGAAATATATCATTACAATCATCAGTCTGGGAACAGGAATTTGTCTGTTGTGACTAGAAAATGGGATTCCCATTCATCTTCCCATGATGCACCTGCATCTGCAGCCCTCCTCCCATGATAGGCCTGTGTCTTGCCCAGCTAAGTTGGACTGATCATAGTACTGCATGCTATCTTTCATCTATACCTTTTGGTTGTGGTTTAYTTTGTTGATTCACGATTCCATCTCCACTCTCTCCAGCAGTACTATTCTTCCTTGATAACATACTCCTAGGATTAGGAAAATAAAATAATGAAAAATGGGAGTTGGATTTAGATTTGAGGCAGGATTTTGAACAATTTATAATCATGCTATTACTACTGTAGAAACAAACTCTTGTATAATGAACAAATGATACGCTACAATTCAATATGATTATTTTATCAATTTGTAGATTACGAATGTTAAAAGAAGTGCCATATACCATAGAAGAGGCAGAAAAAGCAGCGGGTATGGGTTCATAYACACTAACATCTACTAGACCACTACTACCAAAAGACACTGACATGAACACTGATCAAGATTCTTTGAAAACAGAAGAGAAAATGGATGGATGAAAACTTTTGATGGCATAAAAAGTAATAGAGTAATAAAAAAATATAAAATGTTTCAATTGCATGAAGTGTCTCATTTAATCTTTAGCAATTAAACAATAAGTTTTTAACAATAAGTTAATTAAACAATAAGTTTTGGGGTGTGACGTAATTATGCGATAGAGGAATTGCTTGCATAATGAGGTTTGTTGCTASTCGTTCTACTGAGTGAAGTCATTAAGGTTATTTGTTTTGACTTAGTTTGATTGTCAAACACAACGGGAAGAAATGYAATTCAAGCATTGTAAGTTCTACTAGGGTTTTAATAAGTTCACGCAGCAATTTCCCATTTCTATATTTAGTATATTAAATTACAGCTTTATTGATATTACTCTCATTTATTTCGTTGTCAAAACCAACCGAACCTCGTTTGTTAAGTCAGTTTGAGTAATTTTATTATAACAGGTAGTGATATTTTGTTCGGTAGGATATTAAATTGCGCTTATTGTCACGCGATAAGTTATTTTATTTCCGGGCTACTTGGGATAAAATCTTAGTRCTCGTAACAATGAGATATGGCGCCYATAGATAGTAGTGTACAAATGACTTGGTTTATCATAAGAAAAACAACAGYCAGGCCTTGAGGCATTAATTTTTTTTTCTAATTTACAGCTGGGTCRTTTCGTATTCTTAAGACAACTGCTGTTTTTTACAAACTAATTAGATATCTTCCAAATTATGATTCAATCATTTTCTCAAAAAAATCCACAAGCTGAGCATAAATTGACCTCGAAATCTAAAAACCGACTTGAAATACTAAGTACGATGGTGTGGTAGAGTTAGAGAGGGAATTTTTTATTTTATTTTCAATCATGGATATTTTATTTATCTTTTGYTAYAATTGYATTTATTTACAACGATAGCATTTTTTGAGATCGTAACGATACAAAATTAACTATTTTTCTGTTTGCGCGTTGTTTGTTTCCTAAATATTACCTTTTTTACACTATCATACATTTGTTTACAGTGTTATGTTTTACTTTAAATCTCATAAAATGAATGTGAGGTATAAACACATCCTTTTCGAAACTCCCTAAGATCACGCAACTAAATTAGAGGCTTTGAAACTGTTACGAATCAGTAGTCTTGATGTTATGCCTTACAGTCCAAAAAGATACGAAAAAATAATTGGAAAAAACTCTTAATAAAGAGATCTTTTTGAAATAGCAGCTTAGTAATCAAGCGACATGCATTTGTTTACATGTACAATCGGTGTGAATTCTAGAATATGTGATCGTGAAATCGAAATAAGGTGACCTCCATCTCTGATTCGATCGCTATTACCAACACGTGACCGCATGTTTATTTTGGATGTAGCAGGAAGCAATTCATTTCCTTGTGGTTTAGAAGTGTGACATTTAGTAAAACTGGACCTCGCTTCGCCTGTAGGTAAACAAGTCACGTTCGATCAATCTCACCGCGCGGAGGAATGTCTCTAGTCGGGCTTTACCCGTGTTCAAATGTGTCCGCACCAAGGGAGCTCAGCATTACATCTGCTTCCCTTTGTTCTGTTTTGTCACTGACAGCCATAACGGGAAATGCTCTTGTTCTCTTGGCAGTAATCATAGATCCCAATCGTAATCTTCGCTCACCGTTTAGCTTTCTAGTGGCAAACTTGGCCGCGGCTGACTTGATCGTAGGGATCTTTGCACTACCGATGTCCGTGGAGTTTTACATACGAGAATCTAAGGATAGCTCAGCTATTGTAATCACACCAAGAGATGATGCTAGGAGAATTGGATCATTTATTTCAACAACTGCCTCGTTATTCAGCTTGGCTGCATTAACTGTTGACCGTTTTGTGGCAATTACGTACCCCATGAAATATCGAGCTAAGTTATGCCCTCAAAGAACTGCATTGGTCTCTGCATGTTTGTGGATATGCGCTATCAGTTTCCCTTTTCTTTATTTCGAAGTCGGATATCTGAAGTATCAGTTCGTGTTTGCCAACACCGCTGTAGTAGCTACTTTCATTGTGCTTTGTCTGACATATGCTAGGGTTTTCAAGTCATTCAAAAACGAGGTACAAAGATGGGATTCGTTTAATGGAGACACCGAGGAAAACTTAGTTAAAATGAGGGCACTGAAATGGGAGAAGAAGGTCACAAAGACATTCCTTGTCATGTTAACATTATTTATCGCTTGTTTCTTTCCCTCGTTATTGCTCATCTACATCATAAGCTTTTGTGGGGCATGTAATTGTATATTTATTCACTGGGCTAGAGATTTAAACTATATCTTAATCATGGCAAACTCTAGCATGAATCCCTTTGTATTTGCTTGGAGGCTACGCACTTATCGACGCGCATTTGTAAAGATTCTCAGTTGTGGAGGGATTGTTGAAAGGATTGAAAATCTCTCTGGGGTCAGTATGACATGGACGGGACAGTATGCTGTGTCCATGAACTCGTTAGCCGGACAGACATCTACCTCAACTCTATCACCAAGCAACAATGTACCTACTTGAAGTAGTTATTCATAGAATCAAAATGAAAAGACAAAACCATTCTTTTGTTTTGTATTCACAAGAAGGTGCGAGGTTTTAACTAAAAGGCGTCAACTGGAAGTGGATGGAAGAAAAGATTTGCATTTTTGAGGCGAAGGTATTAGTTTTTTTGTGAGTTTCTACTTAATTGGGCATCTAAACCTCAGGTGACGACTATTTTTCAATAAACTATAGAACATGATAGGAGCAGCTGATAGTATTTGGAAAAAGTCAATATTTTAACAATGTTTTTATACCCCTGTATGACAAGCTAAGTTTAAACTGGCCAAACCGACTAATAGAGAAAAGGTATCCTCTATATTTTGCTTAACTTTCTTGATTACAAGATTACCCTCAAAAGTCAATTTACTTTTAGAAGTACCGTAATCGTATTAGGATACGCAACATGGAGCGAGGCTACAAGGTTTAAATCAAATGACGCTTAATTGAATGGCTACTTAAATGAAAAAACGGGCCTTTGAGTCGTTATTGATGTTGTCATAGAATGGTTTTCTTAAATTTGTGAAACAAAGTGTAATAGGCAAAGTGTAATAATGTCGAATACAAAAAAAAAAGAAAGAAAACAGAAAAAAACGTGCAAAAAAGGTGTATTTCGCACTCATGAAAACCACGCTATGTTGTTGTGAATTAATTAATGCTCCTTAAGTCAAAATCCTTTCCTTTTCTTTCTCTTTTAACAGTGTTTTGTAGTATAGTATGTTAAGTAGTTCGTTAGTACTCCCTATTTTCCTCCGTTTAGGGTTAAAATCTAGACAATCAATACTAGTGTTTTTTTTTGTTTTTTGTTTTGTCGAGGATCAGTGACGCTCATTTGTGGGGATTGTCCTAAAAACTGTGATAATACTCGATAATAATCGATATCCTGTCGGTTCTAATCGTGATACAAACGACTGATGCTTATCGGTTTTGCCTCAGGTGCCGCAGGTGTATGTGGGCGAGCTATAGTAACAAAATTAATTAAGCCAGTAACAGACACTACATAATAAATACATATATTTATACAGCTTCAAACAACTTAAAACTAATTAGCTTTTGTTTTTGCTTGTCGTTTTCTATGAAAAATTACAATTATGATCAAGTTGTTTTTCTCACTTTTTTGTTTTTCTCGTATAAACGCACTTTTTTCAATAATTGTACAATATAAAACGAATAACGCACGCGCGAAAATCAAAGAAATAGTAGCGCGCGGATATTGCAGGAAAATGTTCTCAATTATCTGCGCGCGCTGTTATACTCTGTATTTTTGGCTATTTTTTCATACAATAATTATTGAGAAAAGTGGGTCCAGCTCTGGACTAAACTCTCCAGTGCTGCATTGATTTAGCGGTATTGARTTAATTCTGTTCAACGTTAAGCACGACTTGACAAACCACTAAAACTATRTCACAATATCAAACATCGTCTCTATGTCTAATTAACCAAAAAATGGATGTAGAATTGTCAGAATTGCAAATATTGACCTATATCATGTCACATTGTTACAAATAGTCCTCGCAACACATGAAAATGAAGACATGTCTACATAAAACTGCTTTAGCTTGTCCAAACTGTCTGAATTTAAGTGCGTACGCTTTCGTCACCAAGTCTTGATTTTAATACAAGCGCACTCTCCTAACTGACATCTTGTGACAGACGTTATCATTGTACATATAAAGATATCTTTCTTATTTTTCTTAACGAACAATACCAGTGATGGCAAACGTCTAAACTGTCGATGGAAAAGTTGATCAGCTGCATGCGTTACTTTCAAGTCGTACCAATTCCTAGAAAATGAATATTACGCGGACTCTGGGCTAGAGATTTTTTTCCTGGGCTCAAGGTTTTTTCCCTAGCAGGTTTCTCTACCACGTATGCTCTAAAGAGTCAGTTAAATGACCTAAATATCCGTTAAATTGAAGTTACCAGAGTGGTATAGCTATATTGATATTTAAATTATGTCTGATTTGAATACCTACTCGAACGTGAGAAGTGTTGTAGGTTACAGAAAGTGATACTGATACTTCAAACATCAGCAAAGTCTAATTTAGAGGTTTTTCACCGTATAATATAGGCTACATAGGGTAAGCCAGAGTAGTAGCTATATTGATTTTTATGTCTGATTTGAATACCTACTCGAACGTGAGAAGTGTTGTAGGTTACAGAAAGTGATACTGATACTTCAAACATC